TCCAGCAGTGGATTGCGATAGGCTGATGATGATGATGAGGCTCTACCTAGTTTGAAATCAGGATTTGTGTGTAAAGTTGAAATTAAACATCCTTTTCATATGTTCGCAGATTACTTTTTGTTGGTTTTTATTACCAAGTTTTAGTGTCTTCAGCATATGAAATACAAACAGCTTTTTTTTCTTTTTTTATATTTTTTTTTGCAGCGCTTTTTACTAAACAATTTTATAATTAGGTATTACATAGGAATTCCTATATAGAGAGAAGAACATATAGAATTATATATGTAACCTTGTAAATTAAGTAAACAACCTAACCTTTCTAAATATTCAGTGCCAATACATAATTCAATGTAGCACATAAAACAAACGAGTACGTATATTTGAAAAATATTCCAACATCAACCGCTGAACGCAGCCCACCGGTTCATGTAAGAAACTTTTATAGCTCATTCTTCTTATGCTAATACAAAATATTGTTATGGCCCTAAGGTCCTTTTATAAGGATATTTTTAAACTCAACTCAAACTCTCTTTATTTCATTTTTTAGTGGAGCGCCAACTATCCAGGCAATGAGGATGAAAATTTGGCCGTGTGGAACGATGGCGGAAATTTACGGCTGGTATTAGTCCGAACAATTCCTCGGAGCACTCTCCATGATATATGCGATAGAGAATACAGAGTGAAGCCACATCTCTGCGTAACGCCAAGGAATCGAGGAGATCGGAGATGTTTGGGCTATCGATGATTCGAGTCGCTCTTCGTTGGATGCGGTCCAGAGGGAGAAGCTGAGAGGAAAAATTGTTTGAAATCGTCTTTTAATGTGACTCTAAAGTCATAGATCAACACACACACAAGCAACAATCTCTGTTTTGTCAATTTTCATCTCGATTGCACGGATGGCGTGGTGGCTTGAGCGATTGCCACGCCGCTTACAACTACGACACTTTGTGTGATCCACAGATTGTTGTTCTGAGTGTGGGTGTTCTTTGTGTCTGTTTCATGTATGTTTGTAACGTCCCCCGCGACACAGGATATATTCCTAATGCGGGTGTTGTCTTTTATAAAGAAAAAAAAATACAGGTTGACTAAAGAGGAGAAAAATTTAACTATACCATTTTGTGTACCTCTAAAACAATTTAAATTCTACGTACGGAAAAGCAACTGAGGGCTTAGTGTGAGTTTGTCATACATCAACTCAATCGGCACGGTGACCGAGTTCATCTGTTGGTTAGGACCTTTTTTATTGATTATAATTCAATTAATATTGATAATCGAGTTTAATTATTATTATCATTAGAATGAAAATGAGATTACAACGATAGTTGTCACCATATCAAAAACTTAACACCGCTACAAAAGTATTTATTGAATTTAGAATACAGCCAAGCAAATGATAAAACAGTTGAGTTAAAGTGACTTCCACTTAGACTGAAACAAAAACTTAATCGAGCGCCATCTAACAAAGATACTCCGAACTAAGGAGTAACTGCCAATCCTCTATCGCGATATGAAAAGTTAACCGTTGGGCCGCAGCTAACCAGATATGATCACCACCCTTTGTGTTGAAGAGAGAAAACCCCGGTTCCTCCACATAGTCTTTATCAACATAATTGTTATTATTATTATAAATTTGCCAATCATGGACAAGTATCTCAAGTTTCTGGCCCGGTTCAAAAAAATCTTAGATCCGTGGCTGACACCGACACCTTATTTTTATTTTTACTTATCACATAAAACAACTTGAAAGAGAAATAAGAGAATAGGTTTATTTTTGAGCTGTCGAGAGTTTACACTTTAATACAATGTCATTGAATGAGGGTTACATGCTAACATTTGTTGAAAACATTACATTAATAAATATTAATCAAATAACAATAGCTACATTAGGTTAAGGAAGTATTGATTTGGTTTACGTTTAATATTTTTGTCGGTTACACTAATAATGAACTTATGAGTCGCAAGTGCATTGCCGTTTTTTGAGCTGCATAAAATTAGGAGGATGGATGGGTTAACACACATAGGAGAGGGTCATCCACATGCCGTAGATGACCCCCTCGTAGGGTACACCTGATTCCCCGGTTACTGGTACGAGATGGCGTGCGGGTTTTAGTCGCTTAGAGTCCGATATAACCACCGATGAGTGGTATCCGAGGGGTATTGCGTACAGAAAAAAAAGGGGGAGGGACAGTTTTGGGCTTCGGCAACCTCACTCACACACTCACTCAGTGAAAAAGAACGAAAGAATTGCTTAAGACCGGTTTTCACAATGTCATGTTTCCACTCCGGTCGGGCCGGTCCATTTGTGCCAAAGCATGGCTCTCCCACGGACTCTTCTAGTAAATGCGCGCTTGAAATCAGGATGTCCATTTACCGCTTTACATTCACAAGAATTCCAAAGATATGTCGTAAAAAATGTTTGTGCGCTTATGTTACAAACGTTGGCTAAACCTCACGAGATAGACAAAAATAATGTACTATGGAATTGTTTATCTTAAAAAGATCTATAAAAAGGTCGTGAAGGTATATGTCTAAGGAAAACTCACAGTAACCATTTTTGTCTTTTAAATATTATTAAAAAAATATTATTTACGAAGCTATTTTATTCCTTATACAATGAAATACGTTAGATACGTTGTGCATTTATTTTAGATTAAAATTTCTCTTTACAGCATATCATTAAAATAAATCTTTTATAAGATTTTAGAGGGTTAAAGGCGGGGCCCCAACGGCCGTCGAGCCTAACGTCCGTCCCGGTTGGCAGCGGCCGACCATATCGGGCCAATAAATATTGCATTTAAAGACGTCCTGTAGTATAGTCCTATCATAATAATAGTATAATTAATTACTCCACACTGACACAACATTAGTAGTGGTAGTAGTAGTATCTACATTGCACCCGTGCGAAGCCGGGCAGATCGCTAGTTTATATATAAATATGAGTTTTATTTCTAAGTATATACTGTTACATATACCTAATATATGTAGTAATGAGTACAGTCGTAGATATACAACTGTTTTTCCTGTTTCATTCGTAGCTTCCGTTTTACGCAGCAGGCACATACACCTACATTTTAAAATAACAAATGCACATAAATTATTAACAGTCAACAGATTACATTATCATAAATCAACGTCAAATATTAAATTCTTAAACAAATATTTATAAAAAGTCGAGTTTAGAAAAAATATAAGCTCTTGATATTAGCACTTTGAACATACGAATAAATTATTTAAATTAAATCGTGACCTCCTATTATTCGTGAGAGTTTGAACAAACAACATTAATGCTGCGTTGTTGACACTTAGACAACTTGCTGTCAGCCGTACCATACCCTTATAAATTATGTTTGTGTTATATACTATTGAAACTCACACAAATTTCACTTTAGGAAAGCAAAGCTTTTTTATTTTCTTAGTAATAAATTTTAAAATACGGATATGTTGTAAAAGTAAAAGTTTTTAAACAATTGTAAATTCAGCATTCATAAAGATTTGTGAAAATAATTTATTAAATATCAACCTTTACCGTTCACTGTATAAAAAGAACTAGCATACAGAAGGTGGTCCCTCAACGGATCACCATTAGTTCACCTTGTGTGGAGAACACAACGGAATTTGGAATTTTACCTAAATTTCACTTTTGGATTGATATTTAATAAATTAGTTTTACAATCTTTTACTAAAAATAGTCATTTATTGCAGTTGTAAATTTTAACTAGGTTTTGAGATATGGATGCCTGTCAATCAAGACGAGGGACCCCGGACCACCTTTGACCGTTTGTAAGTGGCTACTTGTACAAACTAGAGGCTGAATTTATAATTGTTTTAGAACTTTTAGTAAAGGCTGACGCATTCAAAAACTAAAAATTCTAATGCGGTTTCTCAATGGGAACGCAGACATGTACCAAATCCTTATATGTTTGTGTTGGACAGAACTATTGAAACCTTCTTTATTCTCTTAGTAATAAAGTGTATAGTTTTAAAATAGGGTGGATATGGTACAAATAAAATTAGTATTGGTAGAGGTTAAAACTAAGTCTCTGTACACTAAGATGATTATAATAAGTTCAAAAATATATATAAAGCATAGCATTCCCTTATTGTTTTCAAAATAAAGTTAAAATTCAAAATGTGATGGAATGTACTTATCCATGCAAACGTTACCTTTGGAGTAAAAAATAAGAAAGAAAGAAGTTCACACAATGACAAAGTATAAATAATGAACCCATTTAAAAGTATTAAGATGAGTATTAACTATTAAGATATAAGAATACAGAGTGTTACCACCCTCGCAGAACAATACCACTGCAGAGAGAAAGAAAACTTGTCACAAACTCTATATCAACCCGTCTGGCGAGCGTGGTACAGTAGGCCAAAACCTCATTTCTAAGGAGAGGTCAGCAGTGGACTATTAAAGGCTGCTGATGATGTTGATGAATAAGTATATTATATTCCCTAAAAAAAACACATTTTCGAGTTAATAGTGAGATGTTTAACAAGAGTATGGGAAGTTTCAACCTTATCGGTATAACACGACAAAATAGAGCCTGTTAATATCTATTTACAAGAGTTAAGGAACAAATAGCTATTTCAATTGGCCGATTTATCACCTTTAGTAAATGTGTTCGAGGCGCGTAGATTTAGTTCTGTTATGATTTCTTATGAAGTGGACGTTTTTACGTTTCTCTCATGTTAGTGAATATATCGGAAAAAAATTTTAGACGAGAACTAATTTGTTAAAGTTTTATGTTACTTTGGTATTAATTGACAAAAAAAAAAACAAAAATTAAATAATACATTTTATATTTTGTACCTTTAAATTTGGGTTAAATCTACAAAAGTAAAAAAACTTACGTATGAACTTAAAAAAAACCAGTTGTTTATCTCTAGATATTTAAAAAATCGAACTCAAACAAAAAATAAATTGTTAGCCACAAAATGATTTATTTATCGGGTTTTATTTTTAAGTTCGTGTTGTTAAAAGTAGTGTTAAGGTGACAATGACGTGGACTAAGGAGTTGGACGAAGCTGCGGTGCTTGCCACCAGGAGTGGATACTGGCATGTGGTGCTCTTCTACTTGCTGTGTGGCTTGGCAGCCATTCCCACATCATTCCTTGTTTTTACCCAGGTTTGTGATTTGTAATTTTTACCTAACTGCGCCAGCTAGTTATATGTGAACCTATATTTCTTTAGAACGCTCTTTAGCCTAAACAGCTTAAAGGATTTTGGCGTTTGAAGTGTCATTACATTTGTCTCAATTGTGGGTTTAACACTGGGTATATAATAATTGATATCCGTGTGATGACGGATTAAGAATACGGAGTGTCACCACCCCTATTCATCCCGTGGGTGTCGTAAGAGCCGACTAAGGAAGCAAACTACGCAGGACAACAGCACTGCAGAAAGAAGGAAAACTTGAAACAAACCCTATACCAACCCGTCTGGCTAGCGTGGTATAGTAGGCCAACACCTCCTTTCTAAGGAGAGGCCTATGTCCAGCAGTGGACTATTAAAGGCTGTTGATGATGATGTGACACTATTTGTATCAGCAAATTAGGTAGAAAATTAGAAATTATGATGATTTAATAATTGTATAAATCCTTCTTAAAAAAAAGTTGAACCGGCTTTAAACAAAGAGCACAAAAAACCGTTTGAAGTTCCATTGTCTGGCTGTGAAACTCATCATCAGATCTTTTGTTTTTTTTCATGGGGGCTATAATAAACCACTTTCGAAAAAAAAGGAATTTTGAAAATCTATTCACATATGACGGAGTTATGCCCGAACATACATAAAAAATATAAACATCTGAATTGATAACCTCCTCCTTTTTGAATACGGTTAAAAAATCGAAATTGCCGGGTTGTAAATTTTAAGTACCTGTACATTTTCACGCTGTCGGGTTTTTTGTTTTCTTTTTCAATAATTAGCTTGTTATTTAATGAGAGTTCCATAGAATACTGTACGTTTACACCATGAGCAGTTATGCCAGTTACTATTCTTGTCCTACTGCCCTCACCAATCACCGAACCAGCATTAGGTGATTCCGGTCTAATAGAACCACTACAGTCTTGCCATCCGACGCCTGCTGAAATGACAGGCCTGTTGGTCTAGTGGTTATTGACCCTGACTGCTAACCCACGAACATCATATGAGGACCACAGTCTTTTGTTCTATGTCTGGGTGTAATTTATTGTCTATACGTATGTATTTAGAAATATGTTTATCAGAAGGCAGGTTAATATTGTACAGGGTCTGCTTAGTTTCGGTTCAGACTGCTGTATGTGAGATGTGTGAAGTTATTATTATTATCCACAACTTTCTATATTCCTTGCCTCTCATTCTCTATTGGTTTTCGTGACTCCGTTATATCTTCTTCCTATATCCCGTCTGAAAATGATCCAAAAAGATGGTTGACAGGTGGCGGGCCATAAAAGAAAAAATCCAATGCCAAATATAATTCTAAAATGATTTAAAAGATAGTGATCTGCTAAGTGTTTACACAGATTAAAAAAATACTCCAATGTGAATAGAGAAGTCTGTTTCTCGAAGTCTCCTTCCGCTGAGACTTTGTAAACTAGGTTGTAGTCGGCCTTAAGTCTACTTCGACTGCCATCAGACCTTCACAACCCAAGTAGGCGACATCAAAGTTCTGTAAAAAGACTGTTGTCAGACTTTTTAGGCCTCTAATACCCGTAACAAATGTTTATCAGAAACGAAATGCGTCTTTGGTACTAGATTACAACAATGTGCATCATTATATGTATATTACAACACACAAGCTTTAATATATTCAGTTACGTATATTTTACATATTTCAAGACATTAAATTAATTTCTACCAAAAATATTTCGAAACGCAATAGTGCAAAGGTGATTAAATTGCGTGCTTTAGATAATAAATTTGTTACGATGTTTAGGCAAACATACTAATATAAAAATCTGAAGAATTTGTTTGTTTTATTTTGGTTCGAATTGTAAAAACATTTTATTGTGAAATATTCGATTTATCCAGAAAAGCTAGATGGTTTATATTATCATGCCACGACCAATAGAATCCGAGCTGCAAAAATGCATGCTGCATGCAAAAACGGGAAACATTTATTCTTTTTTGAAAAACGCAGCTGACGTTGAGTGGGTCAGCTAGTGATATATAAAATGCGACTAAAGATAGTCTTAACAAGATAAGATTTCTATGTTATATTAAAAATAGAAATCTTTCAATCAATATGTGTGCTTAGATAGTAGATACGAGTACATATGTGTCCTTTCAAATAACAATATAGATAATAGCGATACACTTAATTGAATATAAAACGATATAATACCATTAACGGGTTAAAAACTAATGTAACGATTAAAAAAAATTAAGGAGACATTTAAAGGTACTAGCTGCGCCCCGCGGTGTTACCTGCGGTTTATCATCCCACGGGAACACTACATTATTTAGGCAAAATAAATAGCCTGTGTTAATTCAGGGTATCAGTTACCACGAAAATATAATTTTATCAAAATCTGTCCAGCCGTTAGAGCCACACACACACACTCACCAACTTTTGTCTTTATAATAACTATGTGGTTAAAAATCAAACTCTTTAAAAAAAGTAATAAATACAAGACCTTTTTTTACGCATGGCAACCTTTTCTTGTATTAAGGTGTATTCGTACCAATATAATATAATTATATCTCATCATTTCCTCCGAGCTTCTTTCCCAAAACTAGGTTAGGGTTGGCTAAACTTAGTCTGTCATTAGATCACAACCCAAGTACTAGGCGATATCGAAGTTCTGTGGAAAGATTGTTTTTGCCACACACACGTTTCTCGGTTTATTTTGGGTGCGTTGGCACCCTTGGCACTCCTTGAGCTTCTCCTTCCCCAGAAATATTGTGGAGGGAGTTTCTGGCTTCGGTAAACTTAATTCCTCGGTGAAAATCCACGGAAAAATGGTTTAACACCGGTTTTCTGAGGTCTCGGGTTTGATTGCCGGGTTGGACCAAATGTTTGTATGATTTACACACATTTGTTTCGGAATGTGGGTGTTTTCTGTGTATAATAATATATGTTTTTACAAAAAAACGTACGTACAAGCTCTGCTTAGTTTGAAACTAGATGGCGTTGTGTGTCAGATATTGAAAAACTTTTATTTATTTCTGTGAGGCCGTGGTTTCACTCCGGCTGACCTGGTCCATTTGTGCTGAAGCAGGGCTTGAAAATTAGCTTGATGTGATCAAAATCATCATATTATTGCAGTTTGTATGATAATGAGATTTTAAAGTAAATTTTATATTTTAAAGCCGTCATTAATTATGTTTAATGTGTTTTTATGGTTTTGCAAACGTTTTTATTTCAACGCTAGCTTATGGCCGCGATTTTGGAATTTTTGGAATTTGAAAAGCCCTGCCGTTGTGAGTTCGATTTTCGGACCATGCAAATTTTTATATAATTTTTCTGATAGAAATAGTCTAGAAATAGTCTAAAATAGTCTAAGTTATTCCTTATATAGACAGCTACCTGGTAGTAAAATATTATCAAAAGCCGTTTTGAAGATTTTCTGAAACAAACAGAGAGACAGACAGACAAAAAATATTTAAACTGGTTTTTATTCATAGGTATCGTTGCAAATAACCGTGTAAGCATGAAAAAAAACCTGTTATTCTGACATTACAAACACCCTCCAATTTCTTTATTTGTTTAGACTCGTAAAATAAATAAATAAATATTTTTGTTGTGTTAAATATTTTTATTGTTTAGTTTGAAATTATGATTTATACTTAATAACAAAATAATTAATATACTATAGGTATTGAAGTCATCATCATCATCAGCCTATCGCAGTCCACTGCTGGACATAGGCCTTGAAAAGAAATGACCTTTTATGTTTTCCAGGTATTGAAGTAAGGGACATTAATTAGAGCACTATTTCCTCGTTCTTGATTTTAGTCTACACACATAGTTATAGTGAGCTCATTTATTTGCTATAACTTAATCAATTTTGTCATATATATATATATATATAACTTGCTGACCCGCACAACTTCGTCTGCGTCCCTCAAAAGAAATAAATTTTCTATCGCTTCTACAACATTTTACATTGATACTCCGCTCCTATTGGTGGTAGCGTGATGGTATATAGCTTATGGCCTTCCGCGGTAAATGGTCTATCTAACATTGAAAGTTTTTTGAAATTGGACCAGTAGATCCTGAGATTACAACAAACTCTTCACCTTTATAATGTTGGTATAGATTTCAATATAATGGTTGTAATAATCATGTTTTCTATTTTAAGAAAGTAACCATCAAAATCGCAATGAATATAAATATATATATGTATATGTGTGAATATAATATATTTGTGTGTATATATATTATATGTATATATATCTAATTATTATCTCATTTATATTCGTTATCAATTAAACTTAAAAAAAGATTTTTTCTTTTCAAAACATTTTGATCCAACCTAAGGTTGCCTGGAAGAGATTGTTCTTAGCAATAATACACTTTGTACATTACATGTCTGACACTTTTATGTACCATACTATTTTGTAAAATGGTGTAAACTTTGGTTTTCTATCTATCTATCTATTACTGCATATATTATTTTAGAAATAAAGTCCTCGGCAGTGTCTATATATCTGACTGTTTGACAACGATAAACTCATAAAGTAGTGAATGGAATTCTATACGGTTTTCACTAACGAATAGGCTGATATATAAAATGTAATGTAAAATGATTACGACATATGTTTTTTTTATAACTTATACATACTTACAACGAAAATGAGGTTCTTATAACATTTTACGCCGCCCATGAACGCCTGCAACTTAGGAGTCACAAACGTGTGGCCGGCCTTTTATATGCAGGAGTACGTTCTTTTCTTAAGGGTTTGAAGGTCGTATCGGCTCGGATATACCTCAGACGATAACATTTGCCACAGATTAGTTGTGCGAGGGTAAAAGTGTCTTGAAAAACGCACAGTGATGACGATACAGGAAAGTTGCGGCCGGTACTAGTCCAAACGATTCCTCGGAGCACTTTCCATGATATATACGATAGAGAATGCAGAGTGAAGCCACATCTTAACGTAACGCCAAGGGATCGAGCCGATGGGAGATCTTTGGGCTGTCA